TGTTTCAATTTTTTGGACAAAATGCGGAAAGTGCTTTAGTTTTTTTGACAAAATGCAAAGTGTTTCAATTTTTTTTGACAAGACGCGAAAAGTGTTTCAATTTTTTTGACAAGATGCGAAAAGTGTTTCATTTTTTTGACAAAATGCGAAAAATGTTTCACTTTTTTCCTACAAATGCGAAAAAGGTTTCATTGTTTTTGACAAAATGCGAAAAGTGTTTCACTTTTTTTGACAAGATACGGAAAGTGTTTCAATTTTTTCGACAAAATGCTTAAAGTGTTTTACTTGTTTCCTACAAAATGGGAAACGTGTTTCATTGTTTTTGACAAAATGCGAAAAGTGTTTCAATATTTTTGACAATATGCGAAAAGTGTTTCACTTTTTTTGACAAAATGCGAAAAAATTTTCTATTTTTCCATAAAGTGCGAAAATGGTTGAGTTTTTTTGTCACGATGCAAAAACTATCAGGTATTTTTCACTTGTGTATTATTTTTTATAGTGTTTTTCCGAATATGTGTGCAAAATTGTTCGAGTTTCTTAACAAATGTGCAAGTTCGGAACACTAAATTAAGTTCTTATTGTTTTTCAATCAACCCTGAACCTCTCATTTTTTCTCATAATTAAAATGAAATTGAAGAAATTAATTAATTACAAAGAACAAAAACAACACCAAACAACAATTATTTACAAAGACATTTAATCAAAAAGCTGTCGAGCAGCAGAAGAGTTCTGGAGGTTCTCTATAGAATGCAGAGCTGGACGAGGTTCCATTGCTGATGGTTGTTGTGGAGCTGGAGGCGACATTGTTTCTGAGAAACCCTCATCTTCATCTATTGTGATGGGGTTTTAGGCTGATCCCACTTCCTCCCACGGAAAGAGGAAGTCGTCGACTGTTTGAGCTACAAATCTTGAGTCAGGAATCTCGGGGTAGTTCATTCCCACATGATCAGAAACTTCCTCCATCATTTGCATTTCTTCAAGTTGGTTCTCTGTGATGGGAACTTGCATCATATGATGTTCGTTGAAATCCCTTCGCATCACTTCCACCGTGTGCCAGATTTGGATTGAGATGTCCATTCGTGCCAGAAAAACTTCAGAAACTGTTTCTCGCACTTGGATTTGTACTAAATCAGGCGAAAATTCTACAGAGTATATGAGGTTGCTGTTTTGCACTGAGAAAAACATTTTGAGCAATAAATTGAGTAAAAGTGTAAAAACAAGAAAGAGCTGAGAGAGGGGGTAGCTGACGGAAGATAAGTTGAAATTAAGATATTTAGAGCTGATAGAGGAGGTAGTTGACGGTAGTTAAGTTGAAAACAAAATGATTTTTAGTTAGGAGTTAGGGGTACCTTCAACTCGAATGTGTGGGTTTAACCAATCAAAATTGATTTTCCTTATTTGGATTGTAGTCGTGTCCAATCAGATTTCGGCTTCCTTCCTTTTATGGAATTTTTGAATAAAAGTCGTGTCCAATCTGAAGCAAAGTTCCATTTTGGGCATTGTCGTTTCCAATCACAAGAATATTCATTTTTGATCTAGTTGTCGTATGCAATCAGAGGAACTTATTAAGAACTTGAATCTTCCAAATAAGTAAAAATATACACAGAAGCAATTGCAGCAATAAATGACCAAAAGTTGTTTGCCTTAAAAATAGGAAATTTTGCTGATACAAGTAACAAAAGAATAGCAAACAAGCAGCTTCTCTACAAATTTTTTGATCAAGATCATTGAAATTTTTGTATGTAATCAATGAGAAATTGCTGATTTTCAAGTAGATAGTCAAGTTCTTTAATTTTTATGTAAATTTTGGAGGATAACTCAAAGTTTATGACTTTTTCAAAGCAAAAATTTGGAAGTCTGATTCCAAACCTAATCAAGCAGGAATTTGAACATTGAAAATCCTTAAAGAAAAGAAGGAATAGAGAATTTTGCTGGGGAGTTTTTACAAATTTGGGTATTGGGTAGGGGATAAAAAGAGATTTTGATATATTATCGTACGACTTTTTGATTAATTTCAAATTCTCGAGAATAAACAAAACTTCTTTCCTGGTGAGGTGTAATTCAGCCGTAAGTTTGAAGCTTTGATACGCATTATGTGGATCAAAAGTTAACCCTTTGATTGAGTAAGTTTCTCTGAAGAGACCTTTACTTAGTCGGAGAATTCTATTTTGGACAACATAAACGTCCAAAAAATTTTGCAAAAAGTAAGATTCAACATCTATTTTATCAATAGGAAAATCAATTGGAATTTTTTTTTCTTGTTAAGTAACTCGAGGAATATCGGATGTTTTTTGATAAAAATTTTTCAAATAATGATAAAGTTTTTTTTTAAATAAGAAACAGTTCACTTTTGGAAAATGCTGGATTCTGATTAGTTGATTTCTAACAAACAGTGTTACCAAAAAAATAATCAATTCCGATTGTTTGATATCAAAATTTTGGAAAAACCCATGAGAAGTAGAACTCAGTTTTGATTGGTTGACATAAAATTTATTAAAAATTCCATGATCATTGAAGCTCGATTCTGATTGGTTGATATCAAAAAAGATAAAAATTTCCTTATAATGAATGCTCGATTCTGATTGGTTGATAGCAAAATTTTTGAAAAATCTATGGTTAGATTGGATGATTTTTATTTCAGCTAGACTAGATAGCATATCTATTCTGATTTTCTTTCACGTTAAAAACAATTGTTTAAGAAATTTGCTGTTTTTATTCACTTTTATTCATTTTTTGAGCCTCTTCAACTTTTCTTTTCTGAAAATTTGGGACAATCTAAATCTCCCATTTTTCTTTTACTTATTTAGATGCCATCACTGAATAGAAACGAAAGAACTGCATGTCTTGAATGTGGAAGAGAATACACACGTAAAGATGCGTCAAGACATCGAAAGCACTGTGTTGTTTTAAAGTGTTCCTATTGTAACTTTTATACATATAGCAGCGAGGAACTTACTGATCATACCAAGAAGAAGCATTGTCAACATAATGTTAAATTATGTGGTCAGCAGTCTCAAAACACACTCCAAGAAAAGATAAAATTGATATGTTTTTTTTTTAAATAAAAACAAAGTAGAAAATTTTTTGATTAATATTTTTTTACTGAATCTAAAAAGTCTATACACGATATTTGAAAAATTTTTAGTAAAAAATTCACAGTTTTTTGTCATTATTCTTGTTCTGTCATTTTCAAAGGTTCTGATTGATGATAAAACCAGCAACAACCGAGTTCAAATTGTCTTGAAACTTTCAATTGAAACCGATCCGAAAATCTTTAGTCTACTGTAAAAACTCCATTGGTTGCCAGATTGCGGGGATTTTGTTGCGATAAATTTGTAGTAAAAGTGAATCACATACGCTAATCACATAGTGCATTAATCAAGACATTGATAAACTTGCATACAAAAAATAGTAATTTTCATTGTTCTGTGAAGCGATAATTGTGAAGCGAAAAGGAAAAAAAGCAAACATTAGTGTATCTAGAGCTACATTACGCACAAAAAAATTTTGAAAAATGTTTGTCTGAGTACAAAATTCGATTTGCGGATAAAAAAAATGGGGCAATTTTAAAATTACTTTAAAAAATTTGGGGCAATTTCAATAAACAAAAAAGTCGCTTTTTTCCATCACCCGACTGTAATATTAGAATCAAACAGCCGCAGAAATTCCCGCACTGACAAAAATGGATTAGGATTGATTTTAGTATGAAAAAATACGTTGATTAAATTTAGATCGATTTTAGTATAAAAAAAGTACGAAGATTAAATAAAAAAAGATGAAGATTGATTTCAATCGATTTGAAATCGATTTAAATTGATCTGAAATCGCAGCTAAAAAAATGATCCAAATCGATTTTAAATCAATTTAAATGCATTTTTTCCAGTCTGAAGTTGTTTTCATTTTTAAGGGGAATAAAATGGATTTAAATCGATTTAAATTGATTTTATGCATTCTTCTTGCCTATGATTTTTCATTTTTCATCTATAGCGTATAGTAGCATAAAAAAGACCAAATGAAAAGACCAAAATATTGATAAAATTCTATGATTTTCTTGCATATTTTTAGTTGAAAAACTGATCTATTTTTACCCTTTTCTTGATTCGTTTCATAAGTTGTTGCTTAAGATTTTATTTACTTTCATGTTTTTCTATAATTTTATTGCATATTATTGAGATCGCAATTTAATTTTACCTGACCCTTTTCTGGTTTGTTACAGAAGATTTTGCCCATAATCTGATTTACATGGTTTTTTATGATTTTATCGCAAATTTTTGAGTTTAAAACCTGATTTATGTGGATCATTTTAATGAAATCTGTAACATCTGGCAAGAGTGTTTATGTTTAAAAAATCGAGAATAAAAAATTCCAACAGTTTTTTCAAAGGATATGTTTTTTCGCAGTGTTAGCAAAAAAAATCGATTTTAGAAAAATCGAAAAATCCATCGAAATCGATTTAAATCGATTTTTTAAGCACTTAAATCGATTAAAATTTTCAAAAAGATCAATTTAAATCGATTTAAAATGGATTTAAGTGAGATTCTGATGGGTTTAAGTGAGATTCGGATGGATTTTAGTGAGTCAAAAAATCCATCGAAACCGATTTAAATCGATTTTTTAGACACTTAAATCGATTTAAATTTTCAAAAAGATCGATTTAAATCGATTTAAAATCCATTTAAGTTCGTAAAATGTACATGGTTAATCGATTTGGATCGACCGGAAACCATTTCTGTCAGTGCGGGTTAGTTTATTTCTCTTTTCAACCATTTTTCGAAATTGTACGAAAACCTTATGACGAACAATTTGCGATAAATTTTATGTATAGAATTGTATGACAAGCATTTTCGGTGTATGGAGGTCAACCCGGGTTAATTTAAAGCTTAATATGACACTCTCTCAAGTGATGTTTTTGTGAAAGAATTATTCTTTGTAATTCTGTTCGTATAATGATTTCACTCGGAAACATTTTATTTTTATGATTGTAATTATATTATTTTAAGAATTCAACGAAAGACTTCCGGACCAGTTGGTCTCTCTGGCTGCCAAGTTTGACTGGGAAGAGAAGCAGTTTGAGTGGAAAACTAACTGGATGTCATCACTAAATATATCTGGCATATCTCCTTCCTCCTCGCCCCAAATAGTGCCCTACGGACGCCCTTCTTGGGTTGGGTACGACTACGACGAGCCAGATAGAGACAACTACCCGCTTCTCGCGCTGTCGGCCAAGGACGAAAACAATGGCGTGTACGAACTGAAGCCATACTTCCCTCCAAGATACGATTACTTCTACAGGAATGGTTACAAGGCGCCCATTCTCTGCAGAGCATAATAAAAGCAGACATATTGATAAACACCCAAAATGACTTCGAAAAACACTCCAAAACACCCAAAATGACTTCGGGGAGATAGCTCAATAGGTACTTGAGACATGTTTATAATCAGTTGAAAATAGTTTGAATGATATGAAATCACAAACCAGATTCTCCAACTAAATCACTAAACTTAGTATACTAACAATATCGAAGCTCAAAAATTACAAGAGAGTGTAAAAAGAATAAAAAAAAAACTTAAAAACTGAGGAAAGTAAAGCTAATTGTTTCTCTCCTAAAAGGAAACAAGTTCTGGCGTACAACATTAAGGTGGTGCGGAGAACAGGTTTTGCTATTCAGATACAAGGCTAGAGCATCAACCCTGGTATTTTGCCTTCCTTGATGAGGCAATAGTCGCCCAAACAAAAATTTACAATTTTTTTTTTTTTAAATCAAATTTCGATTTTTTTTTATTTTTCAAAATTTTTGTCGATCACGCATATAAAATAAATTTCAATCGGTCAATTGATTGCTTAATTGATCGGTTTCGTCTTTCGTATGTTTTACAAATCACCTGAGTTCAAACAAAAATGGTATCCAGGCATAAGATTTCAAGTTTAAACAGAAACACGAGAATTGCGTGGTAGGGGAAAACGAAAAAGAGTTGAATCGCCGTTTCTGATCATAAAATTCAGGAGCGGATCAAGGACTGGTTTTCGTCGACCAAGTCTGTCACTCTTTAATTATAGGCCGAGGTCTATATTCTTTTTCTGAGGTCTAACAAAATACCAAAGACTTTTTTGTGCCATAATTTTTTGCACAAAAGTCTGGCTAAAAATTACGCGTTAAGGCAGTTTTGAGAGATTTTGAGAAAAGAATCCCTCCAGCCTCAACTTTAGTGTATATTGGCTGGCGCTTTCGTACAGCAACAGCATCAATCATTGTCGTTTCCATTGCCTATTTTTTTTCAATTTGGTTGCAAAAGTTGAGAAACCAAAAAATTATCGGGGTCTCTGCGACTAGCAGAGGATTTATGAAAAGCTATCAGGCGTTTCTAAGCAAAGTCCTTTTTTCCATTTTTTTCGTGCTTTCTAAAAAAAGTTGAGGTAAAGTTACCTTAAACCTTAAGTCACTTAAGGTAAGTGGTTGTTGAGGTAAAACTTACCTCAAGTCTACCCTAAAATTACTTAAGATAAATCTTTACCTTAAAAAATAAAGGTAACTTAACGTATGTTCAGGTAAATTTTGCTAACTTTTTGGAAAAACTATTTCGGAGGTAATTTTTTTAATCGAAAGAATTTAAAAGCCTTTTGATCTTTTTGGAGCAATTCAGTGTAGTACAAGGTAAAATTTAAGGTAGTCCCCCACAAGGTAAATTTACCTCAATTTGTTTAGAGTGTACCGCTATGCTAAGTGCCTCCACAATTGACAGGTAATGAATGCCTGCTCAACGCGCTTAAAATCTTTTTCACGAGAGCTCCTTCGCGCTGAATTTGTTTTCACGAGTGAGCTAAACTAATGCTGGTCAAAACGAACAAAACTTCAAAAATAAAACGCGTTTTTCTCAAGTTGGGTTGAATTTGCACAAAAACTTATAATCACGAAATTTGCAAAAAATTTCAGCAGAAATAATATTCTTTTTTTTGTAAATTTAGGGTCCAACATTTAATAGTCAATCAAAAGTTACACAAAAACTGTAAGTTTAACCTCTGACATTTTTAGTCAATCAAAAATTACCCCAAAACTATTAGTTTAGCCTCTGACATTATAATAACCCAGTGAACCTCACAAAAATTAACATGGTTTTCTTTTTCATTTTTGTATAAATGAGCTTATTTTTATTTTTAGATACCAAAAAAATGTTATTTTGCTATATTAAATACAATTTTTAAACTAAAAACAAACTTTAGGCGTTTTGCTCCAAATTTTGGACATTCTACTCTTCTTCAATTTTGTGGAGCTACATAAGACATTCACTGAGATATACTTTAGTCAGCAATTGAACCAATAGTTTTGGCGTAATTTTCGACTGGCTAACAGTAGCCGGAAATAGTCGTTTCAGGGATAAAATCTTGGACCTGATTTTTGCATGAGAAAGTAAAGCTTGTTAATTAAAAAAAAAATTTGAAACAAGTTTTGTGTTCTTGGTGATTGTGCAAAGTCAACCCAATTGATAAAAACGTGTTGATTTTTGAGTTTTTTTTTCATTTTGTCCGGATAGTCAATATCAGCACTCTAGCATCCGAAACCGCCACAGAAAAAAAACAGCTATCAGTAACCTGGAGGCAGTAAATAATGCAGTTTTCACTCATTGGCAAAAAATACCTGCGCAAGAAATGCTGTTTGAAAGTATATAGAACTGATGAAAAAAAAAGAAAAAAAAAGGAAAAAAGATGAAAAGTAGCTGCGCACGCAATGAGAAAATTATGAAAATATAGCCAACTGACAGACAGTAGGAAAAGAGTAAAAGTACGCAGGAAAAATATATCTTTTCAACAATTTTCGTTGTTTAAAGTTAATAGTATCTGGTCTCAAAACTCGTAGATTTTGACCACATTTTTTGATCGACTTATTTGTAGTAAAAGTAACTCAGTTTGAATAAAGTTTGAGTCAGTAACTGGAAGTTTTTTTTCGACTGAGAAATGTGAAAATTTAAGTCCTTTCTCGAAATAGAATTCGACCACTTTTCTCTTGAATTTTACTTGTTTGCTGTTCGTTAGTGGAATTGGACTCGTTTTAACGAAGGAAAAAAAACCTTAAAAAGAAAACAAAAATCGCACCGCAGAAAATCAAATTTAAGCAAAAACAATGTTTTAGATTCTTACTGGAACGAAAGTGGAACCTGATCTAAACTACATTTTATGATTGGATAAATTAGATATTTTACCAATGTAAAGTATTTAATATTAACCAATCATGATCCATCTAACTAACAACCCACTTATTTGTAAGTGCTGAAGTTACTTGTAATTTCAGCACCAGAGAGATTTGAATTTAACTTAGAAATTAGTTGGACTCTCCCGAGCACTTCAGCAGCCGCAATAAACCAGTATACCCTAGATCTATTGAGCCTAGCAGAGACTAGTTAAACAACCTGAGACTAGATAGTATAAGAGTAAGATTAGGATCGGTATTAGACTAAGAAGTTGCACGAATCTATCCGGCCGAAAATAAGATAGCGTGACGAGCAGACGGTGTACCCTATCCGAAATTACTCTATGAGTTAACCAACTCGGTCCTAACTCATCTGGTGCGACCATAAGTCTCGAACAAGACCTTAATAGCTTAGAATTAACCAAAATAGATTAGAAATTAGACAAAAACATTTACAAAATGTTATACGACAATAATTTAATCGAAATGTCTCTACGACTCAATAGATCAGAGCCAATATTCCGAACCATAACAGAACTACCCGGAATTGGAAGAAGACCTCGAACCAGAGACGACATACGACAAAGTAGAAACTTACCATATAGTTATATGATAGTTCGGCAAAAGCCAACACAAACTTTTGTATTTAGAATACTACTAGCAATGAATTTAGATTTTCATTTGCAAACATAAAATTTTGAAGTCAATGTTCAAAATCATTTCAGGCGCTAAACAAAATTATTAATATACAATAACGATTGATAAAAAGATCTAAGATCGTTTTCCTAAAACTCTGCAGTAATATACAAAACATGTTTGAAAAATATTTATTGAAAAATAAAAAATAAAAATTAGTAGCATGACAATAAATGGTTAGTAATCATAAATCATCCTGTTGTTCCAGCTCCATCATCTAAAACATAACAGCAATCATAAACCCACTAATATCATCAAAACACTAAATCTTTCCTTTACACACATTTAAAATTTTATTAAAACTTAAATTCACTTAATTTTAAAACCAGATCATCAAGGCTTATCCTTGGATCTTAAATCATTTTCTACTTAATTAAATTTCAAATTTGATCATCAAGGCTTATCCTTGGATCAAACAGAACAACTTTGTTCTCCCCCACCCACTTAATTAGTGTCTAACGACCTCAAACGTCGATTCACTACCCAACCCTTTCTAAAGACCCAAGACTAATAGAAATTTTTAAACAAAACTAATCATTCAAATTAGGATAAACAGTGAAGAACTTCGGTTATTCATCCTTCACTTGACCCCCCCTCTTACCAGACCCAGGATAAATCTTAGACTTAGTAAGTTTAAAATAGTATCTAACGAACTACTCGCGTTCTAATTATACCTGAACCTTGTGGATCGATTTACTATTCTCCAACCCTTGAACACAATCACTACCCCTAAGTAAGATTAAGTAAGTTAACACCTTAACTTATACTAGCCACGAGAAAGTAAAAAATCATTCTTCGGAATCGATATACTTTTCTCTCCAACCCTGAACAAACAGACCCAGGTTAAGCTAACCAAAAAATCGTAAGAACTAACAGTTTAAGAAAATAGAAACCATTTAACAACCTTTTGCATCCGTCATCCTAAACCTTATGTCATTTAAAAACCTAGGAAATAAACAAACAATCGTTTTACACAATTGTGAAATAGATAACAAAAAATACGACCTTGTAATCACACCTCATACACAAACAGTTGGATACATTCGAACAAAACGACAAACACTAAAAAGAAAAATAATAACGAAACAAAGACAAATAACACGAAAAAGATTTTCAAAAAATCGAAACGCATTTTCAGAATCAGAAACCAACAGTTTAGACGAACTTTACAAACTAAAAGAATCAATAGATAAAAATTACCCACTTCACGATCAATTATATTTTTCTGACTCAGAAACAACTTCAAATTCATCAAAAAGAGGAAAAAGAAGAATAAAAAAGCAGTATAAACACAAACCAGTACATTTATACAATTGGAATCAACCAATTAGACACATTGATAATTACATATTAACAGTCATCGAACGAAAAAATGAGCTCAACGCACACCCCAGGTGAAGAAAGTCCAGATGATGATGAAATCTTTCCTTTTATAGTAGATGCAACCACTGATAGAGGACAGCATATATTTTGCAAAAATTTACTATTAAATTTATTTGAACCCGGAATCAGTCCATGTAAAACAGAATTCCCAGATGTAAAAATCAAAAGACAAATCATAGACCACTACTTAAAAGATATATGCAACATAACACAACAGTATGGAATCTACTCCATAGAATTCACCTCACCAAACCATAATAATAGAAAATATACAATTCAAACAGACGATCTTGATTTAGAATTTTCAAAAGTTTTTTCAGAAT